TAGATTCTGACATGTCTTAACCTGGGTTCTCTAGAGCAGCAAAACCAGTGAAGTTTATATATATATATATATATATGTGTATGTAGACAGATAGTTAGATGTATCTCAAGAAATTGGCTCACCAGGTTGTAGAGCCTGGCAACGCCCAAGTCCATGGGCCAGACGTTAGGCTGGAGGCTTCTCCTGATTCACTTAGGTGCGGGCCTTGACAAACCCAAGATTTGCAGGTAAGACAGCAGGCTGCTGGCTCACAGGCTACAGAGGCTATGAATCTGAAAATTGGCAGGCAAAATGGCGGGCCTCTGGCACAAATCCAAAGAACTGGATGTCAGATGATGATAAGCCAGATGCAGGATCCAGATCAAGCAAAAAGCCAGAGAGCTGTGCCAGAACACCCTTATATATTGGATGTAGGCCACACCCCTGAGGAAACTCCCTTTCAACCAACTGGCTGCTCATAACATATCTCATCATGGAGGTAATTACAATATATCAGATCTCATCATGGGGGGGACTACATTATTACACAACTGCCAAACTATGTCATAACTACCAAACCAGAGAATCATGGCCCAGCCAAGTTGACATGTAACCTTAACCATCACATGACTGATGGTGACCTCATGTGTTGCAGTGCGGAACTTTCATGTGTGAGACCTTTCAGAAGGAGACCACAGGTCTTTATTCTGAGGCACTTGTGGGTAGGTTTAAACCACCAACCTTTCTGTTACTAGGTGAACACTTAACTGATTTGCCATCCAAGCACTCTGAATGTTTAATGTTTAATGTTATTATACAATAATGTTAGTTGCTGTCAAGTTGGCTCTGACTCATAGTGACTCTATGTACAACAGAATGAAACACTGCCCAGTCCTGCACCATCCTCACAATCTTTGCTATGCTTGAGCCCATTGTTGCAACCACTGGATCAATCCATCTCATTGAGGGTCCTCCCCTTTTTTGCTGACTCACTACATTACCGAGAGTGATAACCTTCCCCAAGAATGTCCCTTCTGATAATATGATGAAAGTAGGTGAGACA